TGTATGCATTTATGTACGTAAGCACAAGTAGATATTTGTCATGACGATTTCACGAATTCGTTAGAAATTTATTTCGAATTTAACTTGATTGATGAATTGGCGAAAAGTTGTATAACAAGCACGTGATGCTTAATAGCTGCATATATATACATATGTATGTATTTATTTTCACGTTAAATGACATAAATGAATTCTAGATATCGCGAAAAAAATATATTTAGTTATGTGCTGTTGTAATTGCTCGGCCCATCAACAAAGTAGCTCTGAACATATGTACATACATTCCAACTTCTTTCAGTAGATATTGATCATTCCATTAAATAATGGGTAGGTTCAGAAGGTGCAGAAGTTGAGCGCAACCGTTGATAAAAAAATCAATGATCGTAATGCGTCTTCTGAACGGGTTGATACATTAGCTGTCAAATTCAAAACACACAACACGTTGTCTCAAATGATCAGAAAAATATTACGATCATCTAACACGCAACTGTTCAGTTGATCAGAGGTACAAAACAACGCGTTCAGAAGGTGCAATCGCAACAGTTACTGAGCTGTTGCGCCTTCTGAACGTACCCAATAAGCACCAAAACGTTCACGTCGACCAATATGTTGCACAACTTTCATTTTAAATTCATTTTTTTCCTTATTTTGGTGTAAGAAAATAACTGCTAAGCAGTTTTGCCGTTTGATTTAATCGGGCCAAAATTGGTAGCCTTTGGTTGGTTTAATAAAGCTTTTGGTAGGCAAAAATGTTTTGAAAATACAACCGAATTGAGCATTAATATTTGTTTTCTTATATAATCTGCATTTACACGTTCAAAAAATTGCTTTCAAGCTGCTACCACGTATGAGTTGTCACAAGCATGAGTTCTTTTAGTTTTTCTAATATTTATACGCGGAGGGATTTTTTGTCCAGGTCATCAGATCTGCACCGTTTGTTTGATTTTCAAAAACGTAGATGTGCAATAAGGTTTAATTTTTTCGAAAAGGGCTGCCAGCTGTTATTATTTAATAATAAATGCCGCCGTATCCGCACCGTTCCTTAGACTTAAAAAAAATTTGGTTTCAAATTATTGGCCTTAGGCTAAAGAGTTGCAACCATACTTTACTTTTTCGAAGAGAGTTGCCAAATGTTAAAAATTTAATTCAAATTACTTGAAAAAATTAATTAATTATTACAAAATGCGTGACAATGGATATGGTTTTGAAAAATTTTTTCTGTTTAAAAAATAAAATTCAATTTGAATTAAGGGAATTTGGTAATATAAATATGCATTACCATATGTATGCCAGACGAAAGGGTTTTATAATATAGTATTGTGAAAACACTTTGAAGAGGGGTGCCACCTGTTTTAAAAGTTTAAGAATTTACAAAAGTTATATAAAACTTTAAAATATGGGTGTCAAACGAGAGGGTGTGAAAAAATCTTCAGTTTGAATATTTGAAGTATTTGAAGAGCGGCTTGCCACGTGTGTAAAAAGTCACATTAAAATTATTTCTTAAGTTAGATGAATTTTTTAAAGATGGATGTTAATCACAATCTGTTTTCTAAGGCTTTATTTCTGAATTATATTTACTGGGGTTGCCACATGTTACAAAAAAAAACAAGTTGAACTCAATGTATCTGTTAATTAAAATATGCATCGCATTGTTAGACGAAGGTGAGTTAACAAAGTTTTAGCTTGAAAATACTTTTGAAGAGGTGTTCGAAAATTTTAATTTAATTAAGTTAGACACAAGTTATATGAAGTATGAAAATACGGGCGTACAAACGAAAGAGTCTTTAGAAATACTTTAAACATTCGGAATATTTAAAGAGAGTTGCCACGTATTTAAAAAGTGAAATTAAATTTATGTAACAAAGTGGGCTAATAATTGAAAGATGGCTATCAAGAAAAATGGGTTTAAAAAGCTTCATTTCTGATATATACTTAGAAAGGCTGCCGCCTGTTTGAAAAGTCCAACTTAGTTAACTAATACGCAGGTTATTGAAATATTAAAAAATGCGTGTCAAGCGAAAGAGTGTTTAAGAAATGTTTAGTCTAACCATTTAGAATATTTTTGAGGGGTTTCAAAAGGGTTACAACGTATTTAAAAGGTTACATAAAAATTATTGGCCAAGTTAAATTGACTATTAAAAGATCGGTATCAATCAAAAAAAAGTGTTTAATTTTCTGAACTACATTTAAATTGGTTGCCACATGTTTAAAAAGTCAAATTGAACCCAATTCATCAGTTTATTGAAATATTTATCACAAAAAAAAATCACACGAAATAGATGTAAGATGATATCAGCTCGAAAATACTTTTAGGTCATTAGTTGCACGGATTTAGATAAAATATGGCACTCAGATCGCTTATAGCTCTAACTAGCGTTTGAAGTATTTTTTAGGTTTTTGAAATAAAATTTTGGGCGTTTTAACGCCTTACGGGTTCACTAGTTTTCTTTGTCCTCCGCACAGCCATCATAATAATGTAAATACGCGGCTGAAAGTCGGTACACCAAAGTAAGCATAACAAAGTTCTCGCTTAAAAACAAATAGAAAAAGTATAGTTTACAACGATATTAAAATGTCTAAGTGTATATTTTCAATAAAAGAAATGTTTTACGTGAAGTGAATTACTCTCAAAGGCATATATATTTTTAAAAAATGTTTTTTTTTTCATTTAAAGTTGGAAATGGTAAACTTAAAGTTTGGTATGAAAGATTAACAACCTCTAACACTGTAAAATATATTATTTGTTATTTTAATTTATATGCAAATTTCATAGTCCCAAAAATCCATAAGTAGTCCTGGAAATCCCAAAGTAGTCCCGAAGGTATGCATATATTCTCGAAAATCCCAAAAGTCACGAAAATCCCGAGATAGTTGAAAAATCACGAATCAAATTAATACGCTAACAAATCAAATCACAAATACATTTTATTTCTTATTTGTTTGACCAATAACATCACAAATAAAAATAATTTTTTATTGAACTCGGCACAAAAAAAAATCTGAGATGTGCTAGTCTTCTACGCAAAAATCTGAAATGTGCTAGTCTTCCACCCAAAAGTCTGAAATGTGCTACTTTTCGCAGGGGCCGTCGAAATGGGGTAATTTAATTCCATGCCGTGTCTGTTTGAACCACCGTAACTACAGCAAAATCCATGAAGTGTTTAATTATCCATTCGTTTGTCATCTGGAGTGTATCTGTTTTTAATCCCTCTTCTTAAATTAAAGCCCATTCAATTCCGACTTTTACTATGCTTTAATATATTCCGTGTTGTTTTCTACTATATTGTAGTAGGAAAAGTCCAAAAAGGGCAACAACAGCATTGCGAGAAAAAAGCTATGTATAATAATCTTGTGAAAAAATAGCAGCTAAAAACTAACAAATACATACAATCATCGAACCATAATGTTTATAAAAACTCTTTCAGTTTTATATATTTTTACTGTTACAAAACACGCAAGCAACTTCAAATGCTGTTTTTTGCGCTGCACTATGGGCCAGTAAACGATAAAAAGTGGCCAATATTCGAAATCTTATTGGAATGGCTTACAACTTGCTACAGGGGGGTTTTGACGTCGGAGATTGTGAACCTGAAGTTAGATTTCAAAAAGTCAAAATGGCAGATCCAATATGGCGGCCATTATTGTGTAAAGTATTCGAATTGGCTTGAAACTTGTTACTCAATGAATTTCGGGCTCACTGATCGCGAATTTGTAGTTAGATATAAAAAACTCAAAATGGTCTAGTCAGCCTACATAAAATGAAGTTTCCGAAGCCCACCAGAAGGAGGCTACACTGTGAATGTAAACTTCATTTTTAATTTTTTGGTATTATTTATCTTTTGGTTTTTGTTTCTGTATATTTGTAGTTTTTCTATCAATTACGCATGTAGACTTCACTGTTTTAATTTTTTATATTTCGCATTTTTTGTTTTTGTTTGGATATTTTTTTTTTACGAATTACGAGCTTTCATTTTTTTTTGTAGTTCCTTTTAGTTTTGTTTTTTATATATTTTTACTTTTTTGCCAATTCGAGCCTATTTTTATTTATTTTGTATTTTCCATTTTTTTGTTTCTTATATTTTTTATTTTTTTGCCAATTATGAATTTAGATTTGGTTTTGTGTTCTTGTTGTATGTTATTTGTTTTTGTTTTTCTTTGTTTTACTTTTTATTTTTTAAGTATTGTTTTTTCAATTTCACTAAATTAATGTGGTTAAATGCTTCCCTCAGAAAGAAAAAAACAAAAACAATTTTAAATTTCAGTTTTTAAATACAAAATAAAATTAAAGTGTGGAAAATAAAATTAAAGTGTGGAATTAATTATCTATAGGTAGTGATAAACACAAATATAGGATCGAACAAAAATCGTTCACGAGGTTACAGCGCCAGCGAAGAAGATAAATAGAATAAAAAAATCTCAAAATGTACAAAATTGAGCAAATTCGTCTTAAATTGCATTTAATACACAATAGATTTCATTTTTTTTTTATGATGATACACAGGGGTACTACTAAACGACAACGATCCTAAAAATTAACGCCTGGCTCATTAAAAATGTCGTTTTATTTTAAGCAAAGGCTATTTTGTATTAGAATTTTATTTTTTTTTTTTATATTATTGCATAATAAGATACAAAAGACATAACGCAAATATTTATTATTTTCTGGAAAAAAAATATTTTACCGGCCATGTAAATTTCAAATACAAATATTTTAATCGAAATGAAATTGTGGGCGCAATATTGAGGCAATTGCTATAACATTTTACTAACAGTTACCTTAAATGCTGTATATTTTGGATATTAGCATAAAAAATTGAAATTCAAAAGTTGACCTTTGGCCGTTTTTGAATGCCTTCTGGCCCTCTGTGCGCTGCTCAGTACGCTTGCATAAATTGTACATACATAAATACGTGTGTATGCACTAAATAAACACTTATTGTTCCGTTAAACGTTGCTTCTTATTCTTATTTTTATTTTTTACAAATTTTCCAATTTTGCAGCTCATCACGCACTGAGCCACCGGATCTAGTTGGCATTATGCGCGTCACTGATGACATGATTGATTCATTGGTTTGTCCACCACCCCCATCAGATCCGCCCGTAATGAGCGAGGAGATGATATCCGGTTTAATCGTACCGGCGCCAGGTTGGAGTAAGTAAAATATACACACACCCACACACATATGTAGCATGCATGCGTGAGCGAAACACACACTTACATAAATGCATACCATAATAGCTATACAAACATACTAACTCTTGTTGTACCAAGCCCCAGCCAGCCATTCAGTTAGTTAGATTATGTGCGAAAGCTGACAGCAGTAGCTGAAGCAACGTGGCTTATTCGCTGCTTGCATAAATAGATTAAAAATATGTCAACTGTCAAAGTGCAATGAAGTTGCAATAAAATGACGCGCACACACAGCAGCATACTTTCCGCAGCAGACGGTGGCGGTGAATTTGATGCGAGCTGCATCAACCTCGACACCATCAGAATGGCTGGGTGATTTTTGCCAGGCAACTGAGGCTGGGCTGTGACCCTTGATTGCGTTAAGTCCAGCAGTAATTCGCTGAAATTGCAAAAATGTATTCATTAAAATTTCAGTGAAACTGATGGTAAAAGTAGAATGGGGAATATGCTGTTTGTTGCTTGCCGTTTAAAAATCAATATTTTATTAGTAGACGGCTGGGAATACGATGAGGGGATATACATACATACGCATGAATTTCGAAAAAGCAAATAAATAAATAATTTCGTATTTGAATATTTTTATTTTTACGTTTTTTAGTTCTTTACATACAATAATTCAAAATAATTTTTTACCAAAGGTCCAAGTTCGGAAGAGAAGAAAGTACTTCTTTACCTTTCGAAAAAAAATTGGTTTGATCCAATACTAAGAAAAAAAGTTTATTTTGCCGTATAGTATTATAAAGGTTTCGACAAAATATTTATTTATCTAACTACGAATACAATAATACAACATATGTTTTATACCCGAGCGCACTTGTGCACAAGGGTTAAGTCATGTCTGATTAAGTCATGTCTGTCTGTCCGTCTGCCGGTCCGTCTGTGTACACGATAACTCGAGAAAAACTTGATATATGTCAACGAAATTTGGCAACACAGTTGCCCTTTATCCAAGTTAGGTTGGTAATAAGAATGGGCATAATAGGACAATAGCAGCACCCACCTCCCATATACGGTATTTATGTGATAACTTAGCAACTACTTAATCGCTCACTAAACCCAAAATCGATGTATGCAATGACCTCTTAGCAGAAATTTAAACTAAGGGAATTTTTTGGAAAATGGGCGTAAGTAGCTAAAAACGCCAGTTTACTTCATTTTATAATATTCCCTTAACTAGAAACAAGATTACAGATATTTTAGAATAAGCTCGGCCAAATACTAACAAATTGTGTTAGCGCCAATATTATTAGTCTTTTAGATTAGCTAACAGCTAGTGCTGAAGATAGGGTCTGCTGATAAAGACTTTAAAGAAAACGTATCCATCAAATGCAGCTTTTAGAAATCCAGATATACACATATACACACGTATGTAAGTAAATGTATTTATGTAAATATAATTTCCTGTGTTTAGTTTGAATTATTTCGTCCATAAAAGCTTCCAAGATCTGATTACTTTGAAGTTCTCCCAAAAAAGCACTACCTATCTCACTACTTGTATATTCCAGTGACCCACTGAGCACGAATAAGATACTCACTTGTTTTTCCCAAGGGACATATGTATAAGCAAAAACACGTTTTTCGGGTTCTTGCTCTAAATAATTATGGAATAATCACTCGTCCTGAATGCTGTCCAAAATATATGCTTTCTTTTCTAAAATTCTTGAAATGGCAACATTTAAAAACTTACCTATGTGCTACTGCTTACGCACTTAAATATGTACATTTTCTTTCGCTTTCATTGCATTTTCGCATTGTGTTCTCTGGTGTGTTTGGACTCATAAGAGGAAAATTGCGCAATTTTATATGGAAAGTAACAACTGAGACATTAAAATCTACTCGCAATGGAATTTAAATCAAATTGCAACGTTTTGAGTTGCGAACACGCTCGCTTTTGTTTGCTATTCAGCAATAACATTTGTAAAGCACACCTATGCAAGCCCACATATTTGCATAAGCAAGTGCTTATGTACTCAGAGAAGTGCAGCGAGTGTGATCAAACTGAGTATATCCCACTCACCATCCATAATTTATTCTACTTATATGCATTCATACTTATTGAAATGCCCTCGAACGTCATATCCACCGTCAGGCAAAATTATATTATGATAGATATCATGCTTAACAATATGCCTGGAATGATTCACATGATTCCACTCATGCAAGGAGTATTGTAGATCAAAGTCGGTTGAGCTGAGGATCAAACTTATTGAGGATGGTATGAATATGATGAGGGAGTCATATTCATATCTATGGCAACTTATACACATAAATCAATGTCGTTGTGCATATGCGTACATCAGAGTGGTGGCGTTTCCCTGATTTAGACGTATTTATATCCAAAATATGCTGAGTGGTGGGAAATATCAGAATAGGCACTCTTTGCTGATCACTATTATCTACATCTGAATATGTTTACTTGGGTACATACCGTGGGGAGCAGAAATTAGTGCACGGTGATTTTTGTTAAACATTTGCAAGGTTTTTAAAGTTGAAATTTTTTGTTATTTTTTCATAAAATTATGGTTCATGCTTTAACCAAAACCATTTAAATAAGGTTTTCAAACTTTATACAGAGCTTAGAAAAATTTAAAAAAATTTCATTACAATTTTAAAGTTTTGTTTTGCTGGCGGCTTTTGCGATTTTTTCATACAACAAGTGCTATTTACAAGAACTAGCGTTGATTTTTTATTTCTTTGCACACGGTCTTGCGCATTTTCTTCCATAAATAATTCATGGTTATATGGAAAAAAGTGTAAAAAGCCGTCAGCAAAGAAATATTAAAAATCCAGGAGATTTTGCAGGGGCTTAAAACTTGCATTTTTTTGTACTAAAATTTAGTTGGCCACCAAAGTGCATACTCGAAAAAAATTAGACTAAAAAGTTGAATTTTTAATGAAAATATGTTAAATTTTTCTAAGCTTTGAAAATTTGCATTTTATGGTTTTGGTTAAAGCTGAACTATGTATTTATGGAAAAATAACAAAGTAAAGAGCTTTAAAAACCTTCCAAATATTTAACAACAATCACAGTGTATTCGTTACTACTCAAACTTGCTTCCAACTTTGTAGGTTTACTTATTGCCATTTGTAGTATTTTTATATTTTTTTTACAATTTCGTTTAATGCAGAATAGCCATTAATGTACGTACCTACAAATGAATATATATGGCTATGTGGTAATCATCACTTAAATACAGTAATTAGTTTTGGCTCATATGCACTAGAAGTGTGACTTACATATGCATACGTACATGAAATACACCTGAAGCATTATAATTACTTTAGAGTGTAATTTATGTTGCATGTTGCCTGTTGCAACATCATTTCAGCTGTGCCCTGGGTAGTGCTAGAATGCAACTTTCACCCTTTTACACGCAGTCGTTCCTGCCTTTTTTCCCATATATCTTCCGGCCAATAATTTTGCTTGCAACCACAACTACAGTGCATTATTTGGCACTTTTTGAGGAGCTGCTCTTGTCCAAAAAGCATGTTGCAGGCAACACTCAGTCCTCATTCGGTTTAGTTTGTTGCATGTCAGTTGGCGCTTAATACCGCTTAGTTACGCAGATACCAAAACTGTCACATTTCCTCCCTAAGGAGTGCTTCTTAATGATGCCACAGCTCTTACTACATACAGTATTGGCCAATACAATAGCACCCCTTTTCAAACTGTCATTGTTTGCCCCTCATGATTATTTATTTGCTTTTAGGAATTCTCAATTAAAATACAGTTCATTCTCTAAAAAAAAAAAAAACTCATATAAACCCAAGCTTAAGACTTTTTAAAAGACTACAAAATAATGTAAACAAATTTTCACGCAAATTTCAAGCTTTTTTCTCAGAAGTGCCAGAATTTTTCTGAGTACACAGTTTTGTGTAGCCCTTTAAATTTTAGTCTGATAATTTGCAAGTTTCAAGTAGCTAAAACTACCATTGATTTTTTAGAATTTTTTTCGCCGAAGCTGTTGCGGGTTTCTTCCACATAAAATAAATTTTGTTTATTCGTTATATGGAACCGAATGCGACAAAAAAAAATTCTAAAAACTCAACGGTAGTTTTAGCCACGTGAAACTTGCAAATTATCAGACTAAAATTTAATGGGCTACACAAAACTGTGTACTCAGAAAAATTCTAGCACTTCTGAGAAAAAAGTTTGAAATTTATTGCAATATTTTACAGTCTTTTAAAAAGTTTTAAGCTTGGGTTTATATGAGTTTTGTTAGAGAATGAACTGTACTTTAATTGAAAATTCTTAAAAATAAATAATTAAACATAAGTGGTACACAATAACTTTGAAAGGGGGGTGTAATAGATATGTCCACTACTGTAAGTAAGTATGTACATTAGACTGGGCCTTATTTTGCAACTTTGTCCTACAAAGCAAAGCTACAGTATTTTTAAATCTTCCCAAACTTTAAAAGTTATGTAGGTTTTTTTCACTTAAAATTACATTTTTCTTGAAACTCAGAAGTTAAATTATGGCCCAGTAAATTTAAATCAAATTGGTACGAAGAAAAAACTAACTTTTGATGCAGTTTACCATCTTGGATTTTCAGTTTTTTTTGGGGTTTTTGCGATTTGCAAGCTTATTTTGCATTTTTCGTAAAAAACGGTTATATACAAATATGTAGAGAATTTAATTTCTCACATTTTTTATCGTAAAAAATTAGCAAAAACTGCGAAGAACTTTTACATTGTCACGGTTTTCGCCATTTTTCAACAATTGCTGTTGAAAATACGTAGCATATTTAAATACTAGCTTTATAGCTTAACAAAAAATTTTCTTGATGCAACTAAGGCGCAGTCCAGTGTACATACATGTATCTTCACATCTGACTACAACTCCATAACCAACTACCAAACTTACTACTTTGTCACTGTGTGTGGTATTCGTAAAATGCCCTACGTACTGTCTTTTATAAGTGCATAGACGAGTGAAAGTATGCATTTGTTTAGGTGGATTTGTGGCATTCTTACAAGCGAGTAAATAAGCAAACCGTTCAACGTATAAGTATTTGTAATTTACGTTCATCGGTGTATAGTTTAACTTTATTATTTTACTTCTTTTGCGTTAGTATTTAAAAGTATGTAATAGTGCTGAGCCACAAAGGTTGCACTTGAATTGCAGTACAAAAAAGGGGACTTTGACGAAGATTGTTATGCAACTCGTTAGAGCGAATGGATGCGTTAACATTCAGCGGACATATGACATTTAAAAGAAAAACTTACTGTGGCGTTTTAGATTGAAATTTTATACAGTACTAATTGAGAACAAATACACAAAGGCTGTTTTAAGTACCTTTTATGTGACTCCTTAAGATATGCGTATGACATATCTTCTTTCATGTAAATGGGATTATAGCTGCAACCAAAAATTTAGGTAACTAATCAACAAAATTGGAAAAACTCATTCGAATTTTAAGGCTTTTGATGCTCCGAAAAGACAGCACATAGCACTGGCGAAACAGCTTTTTATTTTCTTACTTCCCTGAGAAATTTAATCGCCGGTTGCCATTGATATATCGCCGAAAAGCGAGAACATTTACTTAATTTAGATTGGCAAAACAATTTCTATAGTATTTGTAAAATAATCGATTGCACGTCTTAGCCAGGGTGGGGTAATGTCAGAAATAGTGTTCAATACTCTCTACATCCTCCTCGCCTCTTCAACTGCGACTGGATATCCTAACATCTTATCATGTGTGCCCATAAGGCGGTATTTCTGAAAACTACCCTTATATGAGAGGTGGGCGTGGTTGTCGTCCGATTTTGCCCGTTTTCTATACCATCCGTCCTACGCTGAAAAGAAGTACACATACCAAGTTTCGTTATGAGCAAATTTCACGAGCTGTTACATTTTGCAACAAAAACGTAGTTTTGGTCTAAAATGGTGGTACACCTATCTGAGAAAAGGCATTATCTTTAGTTTTCTATGAAGAATGAATAGAAAAGAATAGAATAGAATATGAAGTATTTAAATGAAAACTTAAAAAGGATGTACTAAAAAGTAAAAATAACAACCCGTGCTCATAAACCCGTAGCTGCGTAACGTGTACGCCCCGTAGCACGCTTACTCGCACACCTTAGCTTACAAATCATATATTATTTAAAGCAAGTAAATGTTGGCGTGGAATATTTTTCTACAGTATTTTTTACGCATATATAGCAAATTTAGAATGAATTTCGAGTGTGCCAATAAAAATTTAAAAAATGCAGTTTTAGTTTCTGAAATCATAGTCATCTCTTCTTCTTCTTCTTATTTAGCGCTGTAACCTCCTTAGGCGATTTTGGCTGAGTTCAACAAAGCACGCCAGTCGTTTCTGTGCCAACTGGCGCCAATTGGAAATGCCAAGTGAAGCCAAGTCTTTCTCCACCTGATCTTTCCATTTCATTGGAGGCCTCCCTTTTCCTCTGCTACCACCAGCGGGTTTCGAGTTGAATACTTTCAGAGCTGGAGCGTCGGTGTCCATTCGAACGATATGGCCAAGCCAGCGGAGCCGCTGTATTTTAATTCGCTGCATTATGTCCATATCGGTGTAAAGCTCATACAGCTCATCGTTCCATCGTCTGCGATTCTCGCCATCGCCAACGCGTAAAGGCCCGTAAATCTTCCGCAAAATCATTCTCTAAAATACTCCAAGAGCCGCCTCATCGGATGTTGTCATTGTCCATGCTTCTGCGCCATATAGCAGCACGGGCATGACCAGTTGCCCTGCCTGAAACCCTGTTTTCTGGTAAACGGCTCGGAGAGGTCTTTCCCAAATCTGACGGAGCTGGTGGTATTACTCAACGTCATTTTACATAGCCGTATCAGTTTGGCGGGGATGCCAAATTCAGACATAGCGGCGTATAGGCAACTCCTTTTAGTTCTGTCAAAAGCGGCTTTAAAGTCGACAAATAGGTGGTGCGTGTCGATCCAGGTCTAAAGCCACACTGATAAGGCCCAATCAGTCCTTGACGGTGGGCTTCAGCCTTTCACAAACGCCCGATAAGACCTTGTAACCTATGCTTAGAAGGCGTGGTCACCTTTCTTGTGGATTGGGCATACCACACTTAAATTCCAGTCGTCGGGCATGCATTCATCTGACCATATTCTGCATAAGAGTTGATGCATGCACCTTATCAACTCCTCGTCACCTTATTTGGATAGCTCAGCTGACAGGCTGTCAGCTCCAGCAGCAGTCATCTTTTACTCAATGTAATTTTTTGTTTCATTTGGTGGCACTCTAGTCTTATTCCTCTAGGTTTGTTCGTTTTGGCAAGAAGAACATTCTCACCGTTTAATTTTAACATTTTGAAGTATCTTAAATTATTAAAATTACAAAATCTGCATTTTTTTAATTTGGTGGCACACTCTTGAATCTTTACAGATATGTTCTATTTGATGCCAATTTCCATTGGCTCTAATGCGAACATTCTATTTAAAAACTTCCCAAAGTTATTAAAAAAAAAAACAATTATGATTTTTCCGAGTGACAATGAAAAAATTATTAATTTCGGTACTTGTTCGCCTAAATAAACGGTTTAAGACTAATGCCCTTATTCATAAAAAATAAATTAGGTTTAAAGAGCTTTGTAAATTGACGTTTTCATACATTTTACAATTAATAAACCTTTTATAAAGCACTTTATGTTTTATGAATAAAGCCATAAAATTGTTCAAATACTTGATTTGTTTTTTATTGTACTTGATTGACACTAAAAACACAACTTGTGAGATTTGTTCATATATACATTGCAAAGCCTTTGACCAATCTCCTCCCTCAATTTATGAGAAGTGCTATTCACTTGCTAGGAATATCAATCTATGTCTCTCGAATGATAGTTAGCCCACCACCACACGGCATAATAAAGCTTTTTCTATTGTACAAAGTTAAACCACTGTGATATGTCTTCTTAATTTACGCAGATTTAAGGCACAGTAATCTTTTAACACTTGCACTACACAAAAACTTCACATACTCAGCATATATATATATGTACATACATAGTTGTACATACAGTGCACAGAGTTCCATACAAGAGTTTGTGCAACTCTAAAGTGCATCTTTATGTATGTATGTACTTATGTACATACAAACAAACGCACCACAGTATGTTTATCTCTTCATTATGTTCATTTATTTGTGTGCTCATTTTTCTTCACAGATGGCACCGGTAAAGATTTATATTCACCTGAGGCCGAAAGCTCACCGGCACCATCATCCGTTGAGCCGACACCAGCACAAATGGTCGCAGCCGGCACCAAGCCGACCTCACGTACGAGCAGTTTCGAAATTGAGAATCTTCTAAAGACCGCAGAGCAGGTACGTGCAAGGGTAACGATCTCTACCACACATTCATACATTCATTCATACATTCATGTAAACATACATAAATACATATGTGCATAAACATGATGTGCCCAAATGCAAGCACACACACACACACACACAAGTGCACTATGAAGGAGTATGTAGTTGCTGGCTGTCAGTAGAATGAACTTTCAACTGATGTCGACGCACATGTGTTGGAAAATTGGACGTAAAACTTAAGAGTTTAAAAACTAAAAAAAAAAAAAACAGATCCTGAAATATAAAGTAAAATTAATCTGCAAGTTGTTCCACTTGTATGTGTGTTCATGTGTCAGCTGGCACTTGCAAACTTGCATTTTTTTTTGTGTGTACATGCGCGTGTGATCATTTGGTGGGTGGGTTCTGGTATGTGTGAAGTTGTCTTTAAGTGTTTGGTAATTGAGTGAAAAATGCATAAATATTAAATTTGCTCTAAATGCTTTATTGTGTTGTTACATTCTTTTTCATTACCTTAGTTTCCAAAATAATTTATTTGGTCATATGCATTCATTAGCACAGCATGTTTAGAATTTTCACGCCTTTCACTTAGAGCACAATTAGTACTTGCATACATACATATGGTCGTTCAAAGTACAAAAGCGCCAAAACGACATTTTTTGCCAAAAAAAATGGATTTGCTCACACAAGCTCTTGGCTCAATCCTTAGCCATTCGTCCTGAAATATACTAGCCAGAAATGCGATCACTTTGTAAAAAAGAGAGAACCATTTCGAAATATGAGCGTTTTTTCCTTCTAGAAAATAATTTATGCAACCTCACATACGCGGTTTTGCATTTTGTTTATACGCGATTTTGTACTTTAAACGAGTTTATCGCAAGCGAAAAAGAGCAAATTTTAGGGAAGGTTTTTTGTTATTTCTCCCTTAAACAGTGTAATACGTACTTTACTCGGCTTTAACCCGTAATGGTCGCACTGGCTCCAGCAGACACTAGACATACTTTGGGGCTATATAATTTATACAGATACTATTATAAATAGATTTTGTAAGTTTAACTGTTATTATAAAATTCGAATTCTACGTACATTTTTTTTTTGTCTGGTGTCCACTGGACCCTGTGTGACCATAGAGTGGAAAAGTTAAAATTTAGCACACGTGTTTTATGTGCATATCATATTACCCTGTCTAGCTTTGTCTCTATGTACATACATACAAAACGAACGACATCATCAAAGTAGCTTGGCAGCTTTTACGCATAAATCATTTCGTAGAATTTAGCTCCAATTAATGCAAATATTTTTTTTTTCTTATATGTATATTTTTGGGTCTTAGTTTTGAGTTGTACCTCTTTTGACGATGGTGTACGCTATGTACCGTCAGTGTCGATTGTATTGGACGTGATTAATGTAATGAATTTATTTAAAAAATATTTATTTTTAAAATTAATTTTTAATTTAACGCCAAATCTTTCCGCGCTTTTCTGTCAGCAAACATTTAGATGATGGATTCAAAGTCAATGGTACGAGCAAAAGATGACTCCAATTTCAAAGTTCCGATAGTTGTTAGTCTATTTCGGTTCCTCGTAGAACGCAATCAATTTTTAATTCGTGCTAATATACTGAATGAGCGTTCGCCTTCAGCAACAATCGCTTAAATATTACTAGTTTAGGAGTTGGAAAGGAGGCAAAGTTTTGGGGATCCTAGATTTGCTTATTGCCTGTAAATGTTTAATTTGTCGAATCAAAACAATAGAAACGTCCATATCGTTAGCTTAGCAGAAATATTCTGCTTGTTTTTGCAGAGTTTCTTCGCTTAACTCACGAGCATCAATTCGCATCGTCAGGTTAGCAATAAGGCAGTCTAATACATGGATCCTTAAAGTAGTTTGTCATTGCGTCTTCTTCATTTACTCCGTTTCTGTTGAAACATATCTGAAGAACCAAAATTTCCCGCTAGCGTTTTAAGATCTTCAAGTAAACTCTCTATGTTGGCAGCTTCCACATCAATCATGGAATCTCTAGTTTGTAAGTTTTTACGTCGATAATAAATTCGGATCAGAATTTTTGAGGCAGTTAGAGGTCATCAAAATACATTCAAACGATTCCATGTACGTCTGAATATGCTTCACATATGATCTTGTCTCGGCGGTCAGATTCAGTATTTCAATAGCTTCAAGAGACTTCTTAACCCCTGGAAGTACTAACCATGTTTTGTATACGTTAGTACTAATTATCGTAGAATCGACGAAGTCTTGTTAAAACCCTACTGTTTTACAAATAAAAGTAAACCAAATGTTATTATTATTATTAAAATTATAGATTTAACATTTAAACTTACCCATAAAACCCCTTTCAGGCCCATAATGTAAGCGGCTCAAAAAAAGTACTAAATTTTCTCTTGGACTTAACACACGAAATCAACATAAGGCAAAGCGTAACAAATTATATTCGTACTTATATAAAAAACAGCAAATCTTTTATTTTATAAATTCATTTTGCGCATGAGAAACAAGTCTCAACTTCATTTCAATGAGCATTCCCTGCTGCTCAACTCCAACTCATAGGGAACTCCCCGATTTGCGGAGAATTTCAGTTTGCGTGGGGAATCGGAGAATGGACCATTTTTTGTGGGGAATTAAGTGTAAAAACAATTGTAAGTTGAAATGCCACACCCGTCACCGTGGAATGAGCCGTATGCAGTTTTATAGCTCGATCAAATTTAGTATTTCAAATGGCTAATAATTACCGTTCATTTTTTTAAATATTTCTTGTTGCATTTGCTGAAGAAAACTGCAATTCCTTCAGTACAAAAAGTCGTAAACGAAAATGTTTAGGCACTTGAAACTTGCACCTTTTTATTCTAGAGTGGGCCACAAAACCGCGTACTCAAAATTTTTCTAGAAAATCTAATGTTTGTTGATTTTTTCAAATTTTGCACAAAGTTCGAAACATTGATTTAAACGGTTTTTGCTAAAGAATGAACAGAATTTTTATAAAAAAAAAACAAACCAAATTAAATAACAAAAAAAAGTAATAATAATTGTGAAAACTAATCATAATTTGGTGCGACAATTTTTTTTTTCGGCCACATATCAGATTTTTGCATTCTTTATTTGTTAAGGAACTTTATAAATGTTTGGTTTGCTTTATGAATACATAGATGAATTGCATTTTTAAAATAAAATAAACAGAAAGGCCGGAAATATATTAAAATATATTTTTTCCTGTAAATAAGGCGATGGGGAATTTTACGAAATTTCAGGCAAAACCGGTGAATTTCGCTGTTAAAATCGGGAGCACATAAAATCTGACCGCAACGCAGTAAAGAGAAAATAAGTAAAATGGGATTGGTAGTCGTCGAATCGACGAAAATTTGTACTCTACATTTAATATCAGGAAGACTAGCTGCGACAGGTTCTATACAATCGACTATATCACAGCAAAGAGTTTGGGACATACTGTGAAATGAGTAGCCAATATTTTCTTGTAAAATCGACCACATTTCAAGACTGCAGCTGAATAATGTATAGCTTTGCACAACTCCAAAGAATGTGAAAACTTCTGAACAGCAAGCATTCAATGCAAATAAAGTAAAGTTTTCATAAAAAGTTCGACAAAGTCTGAGAATATCAGTTTTTTCAGCCGGGCCCAGGGCAATTGACTCCGCTAACCTCCCCCCTTGACGGGCCTGTGCATAGGACGCCATGTGACCATCTTCTATGTCTAATTCTAAGAAGGACAAAGTTAAAACAGATGTTAAGACATATTTAGTAGGAAATGGAGACTTGTGGTAACGCAACGCATTGCATTCATACTGTTGTACTTATTGTTGTTGCTTAGAGCAGATATGCTCAATCAATCAATCGCATTATTAACATCTCGTCTGAGTAACTCATACGCCAAGTAGACACGGTCGATTTTAGCTTTTTCGTTTTAAATTTTAGATCCAATATGAATCCGAAACTCTGAATTTTTAAAATATTGTTTCAGATTCGTAATCAGCGACCTGAGCAACCCACGATTGTAAAGTTTTAGGCGAATGTAATCGATTTATTGGGTCCACAATTTTGAAATTTTTCAATCTGATTTTAGAGTCGTAATTAGCGAAACGTTTCAGGCGAATCTGATTGATTTTAATTTTTTAGCCGCCATTTTGAATTTTTTAAAGCGGACTCCAGATTCGTAATCAGCGACGCCATAAAAACCTGCTTTTTGTGTTGGGTTCTCCAGTTGCATTTAGTTTATGCGTCATAGTTGAGAGGCCATCTTGGGTTTTCCAAAAAAAAACACACCAATGCCCCAACTTTTGGACAGGGTGTTTTCGATTTGGCAAACAAGGCCCCCACCCGTAAGCGTAGCGAGTTTCGCGAAAGAACACACACACACCCTATTGCTTTATTTTTCGGTAAGAAATGTCTGCGCTCCAAATCCAATTTCAGTATATTTAAAATTGTTTAATGCTTAACTTTTGCTTAATATGTTTTTCGTAAAAACTCACTAAGAACTATTTGATGTAGCCGTATAGTGTCTACGTGAAAGTATAAAATACAAAAGGAATCCTTTGTTATAGCCAATCATTGTACCGGTTTTCACAAAGACCAATCCTCAACACACACTGAAAATATGGCGCACACAACAAACCCACACTCAAAGAAAACAAAGTACACAGGACATGAAGGATTAAGTATCCCTTTCGCCACACTCTTAAGGTTATTTGTACTATATTTTCACGCGTTGCACGCTAACAAAATGCATCTTACTTCAAGCAGTCTTTAAAAATTCTTCTCCTCAATAGCTGCCAAGAATAAAAGTAAAAAAAAAACAACGCATATCCATTCAAAGCCATAATGAAATAATAACAAGAATAGCGTTGCCATCTACGTTGTCACCATTTTCACAGGCTAGTAAGCGGGGAAAATAAATTTACAAAAGTGGCACTAAATTTGCCACAGCGTCAACGAAATGTCAAAAGGCTATACAAACAGACCGGCACACGCACACGCACACGCACACGC